TCCTCTCTTTCTCCCCCTCTGCCCCCCCCCCCCGTCTCTCCCACTCTTCCCTTCTCCGAACATTCCCACACTGTGAACCCGCCAGCCATCGTGGCTGTGTACGTGTGGTGCCTATATGTAGTAGCTTTTATTGTCAGGTGTAAAGGGGGAGGAGAGGTTTGTGCGGGTCATCCAGATTGGTGCTGCCAGTGTTGAGTTTGGAGAGTGCAACACCTAGCTTGGGGTTACATGGGAGGGGCGCCTATGTTATTCGAGCAAAAAGTGCTGCATGGTGGCCCCTTGTGGTGGCTGGATGACTCTCGTTCCAGTGCTTCATTATGGTCCCTCGACCCAGTGCTGCATTGTGGTCCCTCGCCCCAGTGCTGTGCGGGAGTGACGTGCTTGTGTTGGTGGAACTCCGTAAAGCACTATTGATCTGGATGCTTGCCTGCCGTGTGCGTGTCTCCATCTCTTGAATAAGTTATCAGTCTTAATCAGCTCACTGCCCTTAATTTCATTTAATAATAATACTATTATCAAGGCTGGTTTGCAGCTACAAAACGGCTAGTTTGCTGACAGTGGCGGGAACCGAATTCATGGTTTAGACTAGCCTGTGAGTGGCACTAAAATGTGTGCACAAGGGTGCTAACATAGTGCCAACACTGCAAGCTCAGAGTTGTGAAGGAATACTTGTGTGTTAATTAGGAGCATAACTTCAAAGGCTTGTGGCATATTGTGGAAAGAACACAGTGGAGTGAGGATTGTGGTAGCTGGGGAGTGTACAGGGGGGTGTAGTGGGGAACATGAGTGATGGTTATGTGGTGGGGGTTGTGTTGAAGGGTTGTGTAATGTGGTGGTTGGAGTGGGGGTAGAAGATGGGCTTGTTGATGTTATGGGGAGGGTGGTGGGTGTGTGGCGGTGGGAAGAATGGTGGTGGTTGTGCGGAAGGTGAGGGTTACCTGGAGGTTATTCCGGGGATCAACGCCCCCGCGGCCCGGTCCATGACCAGGCCTCGCGATGGATCAGGGCCTGATCAACTAGGCTGTTATTGCTGGCCGCACGCAGTCCAATGTACGAGCCACAGCCCGGCTGATCCGGCACTGACTTCAGGTATCTGTCCAGCTCTCTTGAAGGCAGCCAGGGGTTTATTGGCAATTCCCCTAATGCTTGATGGGAGGCTGTTGAACAGTCTTGGGCCCCGGACACTTATGGTGCTTTCCCTTAGTGTACCAATGGCGCCCCTACTTTTTATTGGGGGCATTTTTGCATCGCCTGCTCAGTCTTTTACTTTCGTAGGGAGTGATTTCTGCGTGCAGATTTGGGACCATTCCTTCCAAGATTTTCCAAGTCTAGATTATGATATCTCTCCCTCCTGCGTTCCAACGAGTACAAGTCAAGTGCTTCCAAGCGTTCCCAGTAGTTAAGGTGCTTGACAGAACTTATACGTGCAGTAAAGGATCTCTGTACACTCTCTAGATCTGCGATTTCACCTGCTTTGAATGGAGATGTTAATGTACAGCAGTATTCCAGCCTAGAGAGAACAAGTGATTTGAAAAGGATCATCATTGGCTTGGCATCTCTCGTTTTGAACGTTCTCATTATCCATCCTATCATTTTCTTTGCACGTGCGATCGTGGTACTGTTGTGATCCTTGAAAGTGAGATCCTCAGACATTACTACTACCAGGTCCCTTACATTAGTTTTCCGCTCTATTGTATGGCCGGAGTCAGTAGTATACTCTGTTCTAGTTATTATCTCCTCCAGTTTTCTATAACGGAGTAGTTGGAATTTGTCCTCATTGAGCATCATATTGTTTACCGTTGCCCACTGGAAAACTTTGTTTATATCTTCTTGGAGGTTAACCGCGTCCTCAGCAGATGACAGCCTCATGCAGGTCCTAGTATCATCCGCAAAGGATGATACGGTGCTGTGATGTATATCTCTGTCTGATATGAGGATAAGGAATAAGATGGGGGCGAGTACTGTGCCTTGCCAAAGTTTTGACAAGTTATGTGATGAGAAAGGCAGTGTATTGAGACCACTGGGAAAGTTCCTTGACGGTGAAGTACACAGTTGACACACCAAGGGTGTTTTGTGAGTGCGTGCGTGTACGTATGTACACGAGTACATGGGAGAGGCAGAATTTATGATCTCAATTTCGAGGCTGTTGAGGACTCGGCACAGTAGTCGCTTTTAATTCTCTTTAGATATTCAAATGATAATATAATGGGAGAGAGTGAATGTATGTATGTAGTGCGTGCGAAGGGTGTTAGTGTGCGGGTGTGCCGGCAGCATTTGAGGAAGGCAGCATCAAGAAGTTGAACGACTCGCCGGAATGAATTTGGGTAAAACTCTGCTGAGCAACTTTGCGGACTACCAAACATAGTGCAAGATGGTAACATAAATATGGGAGTGTGGCGGTGGGGTTGGTTGGATAAGATGATGTATGTTATGTACACAAAATGGCAGCCGGTATGAATCTCAGTTGGAGTTACGCTGAATCTATCCCACTTGTGGTAGATCTTTGCACCAGCTGGCGATCGACCTACATCGCCCGTGGAAGATGTACGGCGCCTTCTTACTGTGAACCTACCCCGCGTCTGAACATCTGTGCCCTTAAAGAGATATATCTGGGAGAGAATGATAGTGAGTGCAAGATGGGGCTCTGCATACCTGCACCAAGAAACTTGCTACTAGCGAGTTCTTGTATCTTATTTCTTCATCTTCTAAACCTAGTACATTGTGTAGCGTACCCCTTTTCGTTATTTACTACCTAGAGGTTATTCCAGGGATCAACGCCCCCGCGGCCCGGTCCATGACCAAGCCTCCTGGTGGATCAGGGCATGATCAACGAGGCTGCTACTACTGGCCGCACGTAGTCCAACATACTAACCACAGCCCGGCTGATCCGGCACTGACTTTAGGTATCTGTCCAGCTTCCTCTTGACAACCAGGGGTCTATTGGTAATTCCCCTTATGGCTGGTGGGAGGCTGTTGAACAGTCTTGGGCTCCGGACACTTGCTGTATTTTCTTAGTGTACCGGTGACGCCCCTACTTTTTCACTGGGAGTATGTTGCACCGCCTACCAAGTCTTTTGCTTTCGTATGGAGTGATTTCTGTGTGCAGATTAGGGACCAGTCCCTCCAGGATCTTCCAGGTGTAGATTATGATGCATCCCTCTCGCCTGCGCTCCAGCAAGTACAAGTCAAATGCTTCCAGGCGTTCCCAGTAGTTAAGGTGTTTGATGGAACTTGTACGTGCAGTAAATGTTCTCTGTACATTCTCTAGATCTGCAATTTCACCTGCCTTGAATGGGGATGTTTATGTGCAGCAGTATTCCAGCCTAGAGAGAACAGGTAATTTAAAAAGGATCATTGGCTTGGCATATCTTTTCTTGGCTGTTCTCATTATCCATCCTATCAGTTTTCTCGCAGATGTGATAGTGGCATTGTTGTGATCCTTGAAGGTGAGGTCTTCGGACATTACCACACCCAGGTCCTTCACATTACTTTTCCGCTCTATTGTTTGATTCGAGTTTGTAGTATACTCAGTTCTAGCTCTTATTTCCTTCAGTTTTCCACAACGAAGCCTGCTGTGGGACCGGGCCGCAGGGGCAGTGACGTCCGGATTCGTCTTCAGTTATGGGGTGGGGATGGAAGAATCTCACATCTGACGTAATTATTAATATTTAAATGAGTTTACTGGCGAGACAAAGGAAAGCTTTGGTACAGTGACATAAAAGCTCTACTTACTGGGTCATCACATGACATACCCGCATCGGGAGGGGGAGAGAATAATCCTGACGAAATATGCACTAACACAAGTACAGATATATCTTGAGTGAAGTTATCAGGAATTACCTGAGAGGAAGCTTTGAAACAGGGCAGCATCGTTGACATGGTTACTTTCCCAGGTGTTAAGATAATGAGAAGAAAGTGGAACAAATGAGCTGAGTTCTAGGATAGGGTAATAGTTATTAAAATATTATTTTATTAATTTTCATATTTATTCGTTTGGTAGATTAGAGATGGCAACCAAGGTGAAAGATGTGGGTGGTAGTGCTCGCGTGGTGTAGGGCGGGGGTGTGAAGATGTGCGTGTGGTTTAGTGGCTCCAGTAGTAGGGTAAGGGTGAGTAGTGGTGAGGTGAGTGTAAGAATGATGGTGGAGGGGGGGGGTGAGGGCTGGCCAGCTAGGTGGGTGGCCAGTAACCTGTTGCTCGCTCTAGTCTACCTGGAGGCTAGCAAATGTCAACAGATATATGCAATTTCAATAATTAAGGAAGATGTGTTGGACTATCAGAGGTTTTGATGATTTAGCCGTAGATGAGGACTGGATAAGGCCAGTATGAATGCATCTTTCTCTCCCTCACTTCTGGGAAGGTTCAGAGATAACATGCAATGTAAGATCGGTAAACAGAGACATGGTTAGCAGTAGGTATAGATCAAACACCTAAACTAAGTATTTTAAAAGGACAACTCTAAACGGATATAATTACCAAGTTCACGTTGAAGATATGCAAACCAACGCTTAATTTAATTTGAAACGCATCAACTACTGGACACTTTCCTCAGCACTTCAACGAGATGTCGTATACTCAAGCCTGACCCTCCCCTTTTATTGATAGCTAGGACTGACTCCCCACCTTTATATACATATTTTTTTAGAACGTGTATTTATTGCTGATAAGGATCGACATATACACATCAATTAGTTTTGTCTTTGTGTGCACGTTTCCACCTACATGCTACGGCCATGGTTCGAGTGCCTGTTTATTCTGTATAATTTATATTTATTTATATTATATATATATATATATATATATATATATATATATATATATATATATATATATATATATATATATAATTTGATAAAGCTCTACACAGCAAAACTTCATAATAAAAGCTTGGTGTGCAACATGTCTTCAGGTTGTTCTCCTGTTTGCTTCCCTTCCCTACCCTGTCTCCTTACCCCTCTCCCCCAGTCCGGTGCTCATTGTGGTCTGGTGAAGCTTGTATCACTTGTTCAAGTAATACTGTGGGAATAGCATTAGTGGGTGAGCTTGTGTGAAATTATACTGCGCGGTGTGACTTGATCCTCCTCCTGCTCGTCTGCCGTGGTAAACACACTCCAGCACCCGTTAACCACTGGAAACATGGTATTAAGAGTTCTCCACATTCTGCCCTCTGTACCTAGTACAACTGATGTTTTTTTTATGTAGCGTTTTGAAAGGCTACTGCTTGACATTTGAACTTGCAAGACAGTCAGGGAACGTGATTAAAGGGGTGTAATGGCACTAATGGCAGAGCTGGGTTATCCATTGACCATAATAGGTACAGTGCCCACGTTAAAATTCTAGGGCCCTTCAAAAATGTCACGAGTCAGAAATTATAAATCTATCATTTAGAATGGCTGAGGTCTTTAATCTTGCCCTGACTATTGAATATAATATACGACGTTTATTTTGTAATTATAGTGAAGTTTGTTTAACAATAATACCCATTCATGTGATAATAGTTAATGTAAGATTCTGCAAATCAAAAAAAGCTACGAGTCGAGATTAACAGTAGGGAAAAGATGAAGCAAAGTAGGGAAACAACCCATTATCTTAACTCCCATAAGGATCTATGTGGATTTCTCTCGGTTGGTTTCATAGGGAAATTCTGGGTTAAGTTTGGTGGTCCTCTGGCCGTGAAAAATAACCAGCTCTAACACACCTCAACCAGAAAATTATAAATGAAAGATTATGATGATGAAAAGTTGTGCCGCTCCATCAGAAAACTGACAGCCACTGAAGGACGCATACCCGAATGACGTATGCCCGAATGACGTATGCCCGAATGACGTATGCCCGAATGACGTATGCCCGAATGACGTATGCCCGAATGACGTATGCCCGAATGACGTATGCCCGAATGACGTATGCCCGAATGACGTATGCCCGAAGGACGTATGCCTGAATGACGTATGCCTGAATGACGTATGCCCGAATGACGTATGCCCGAATGACGTATGCCCGAATGACGTATGCCCGAATGACGTATGCCCGAATGACGTATGCCCGAATGACGTATGCCTGAATGACGTATGCCTGAATGACGTATGCCCGAATGACGTATGCCTGAAGGACGTATGCCTGAATGACGTATGCCTGAATGACGTATGCCTGAATGACGTATGCCCGAATGACGTATGCCTGAATGACGTATGCCCGAATGACGTATGCCCGAATGACGTATGCCCGAATGACGTATGCCCGAATGACGTATGCCCGAATGACGTATGCCCGAATGACGTATGCCCGAATGACGTATGCCCGAAGGACGTATGCCTGAAGGACGTATGCCTGAAGGACGTATGCCTGAATGACGTATGCCTGAATGACGTATGCCCGAATGACGTATGCCCGAATGACGTATGCCTGAAGGACGTATGCCTGAATGACGTATGCCTGAATGACGTATGCCTGAATGACGTATGCCCGAATGACGTATGCCTGAATGACGTATGCCCGAATGACGTATGCCCGAATGACGTATGCCTGAATGACGTATGCCCGAAAGACGTATGCCTGAATGACGTATGCCCGAAAGACGTATGCCTGAATGACGTATGCCCGAATGACGTATGCCCGAATGACGTATGCCCGAATGACGTATGCCCGAAAGACGTATGCCTGAATGACGTATGCCCGAATGACGTATGCCCGAATGACGTATGCCCGAATGACGTATGCCCGAATGACGTATGCCCGAATGACGTATGCCTGAAGGACGTATGCCCGAATGACGTATGCCCGAATGACGTATGCCTGAAGGACGTATGCCTGAAGGACGTATGCCTGAAGGAAGAAAAAGCTGTCAGTGTTTAATGTCTTCGACGATCCCCTGTTTGACCGTCTTTAAAACAGTTAAATAGTATTTGTGATGAAGAGGACGGGCTGGAGGAGGATGTCAAGCCTGACTTCAGACGGGGCTATAAGTGTACGAGAACCCTCGAATTCAGTCATGTGTCATACAGGCGAGGACACCTATCTACCTAGTAATGATACCTAAGATCATCGCCTCCGCGGCTCGGGCTCACATCAGCGTATGGTTGACGGGCCCGGTTAGTCAGTGATGTAGCAGAAATATTGGCAAGTCTGGTGTATTGGTTCGGACTCTAGGTGTAGGAAAAACTCTGAACTCATCTAAGGTAAAGCTGTCATAACCATGAAGTCCAGGAGAAGTGCCTCAAACCTCACTGAACACAGTCGTAATGTGTACTAAGTGTTTCTCTCATTATTGTCATAACAGGTTCTAAGGAATGTGCTTCGTAATCATTCCTGGCAGAGCTAATTACACTTCACTTAGCAAATACCAAATGTCATTTAGTTTACGACTTTAAAGTAGAATACTTCTTAGTGGATAATAGGATCAGTAAGAGTTAGGACAGGAGACAGACGACATCCTGGGAACACTCAGAGAACATTGTATTAACATTCGTGGTGTTAACATGTTCATCTTAACAGAAGATACCAGAAACACTGCTGGGACAAGTGTAGAAGAGGAAACTGGACAAGTATTTACACCAAGTGCCAGATCAACCAGGCTGTGATGGATTTGTGGACCAGCGGACCGATAGCAGCAACAGCCTGATAGACCAGGCAAGCAGCAGACAAACCTGGTCCATGGCCGGGCTCCGAGAATAGAAAAAACTCTCGAGACTATCTACCTACCTGGAAGGTGTTCCGGGGGTCAACGTCCCCGCGGCCCGGTCCACGGTGTAAATACCAGAGACCAGTGCAATGGTGAAGCCCAGTAGTGTGGTGGTGTAGGAGACGAAGTGGAGTCTTGGAGTAGTATACCTTTATAATTGCAAATAAATTTCTCCCTACATTACAAGAATTCAAGAGTGTAATTCCTCCCCCCCCCCCCCATGTAACGTTATAGTGTTCTCTTTCGAGACAAAATTCCGTCAAGTTATTTTATGAACGCCCGTTTATTTAATATTACCAGTAACATCACGAAAAGGTATAGTAATTAGCTATATGGTATAATTCAGAAGATCATTCCTTGCGTCCGGTTATGACAGTTGTCGTTAGTGACTGCTCAGTGTCCTTTGTGTTCAGTACTAAACAGTGGTGTTCACTACGAGAGTGGTGGTTGCCTTTGATATGTCTTAATTAGTAGCCTATTAGTATCTCTCATGACTGGAATTGTTTCCAAGATGGCTTGGATGGTGTATCTGTGGGTCATCGCTCCCGGGGCCCGTCCTCTTATTCCCGTGGACCGATGAGTGTGGTTTCTTTCATATGGCATGTTGGGTTTTTGCCTTATAGCAGTTTCTTAATTGGCAAATTATCCTTCACTTTCGGCTGGGACTTTTGTTTTAGGGGCTGGAATGATAAGAGTTTTGTATTTTTAATGTGATCATTCCTGCACGTTCCATGCCTGTAAACAAGACGCACAATGAAAACGTTTCGTTCACCAGTGAGTGTATCTGGTGGGCGAAACATCTTCACAATAAAATACCATAGCCCTCATTGTATTATTTACACAGTCAGTATATTCTACCTTTGTACTACCAATTTCTGTTAAGTTTTTTCTGCCTGTTATAGTTTTTGACCAATTCGGAATATTTTAATGTGATAATATGGATTTATATTTTGTTCGTACTAGTATTTTTTTTCCTTTATTTTATCTTAGATAATCTGAAGTGTGTTGTTTTATTGTCACGAGCACTGATTATCTAGCAGGTCCAAGTGCTCCCTCACTGCTCAAATCTTCTCAGGTATCCGTATTTACTAACCTCCTAGTGAGTACATTTAAGGCTCCTCGAACACCTCTTCTGTCACCGAGGCATGAAAATAAACGCATTTGGGATTTTTAGGTGTGCTTAACACGTTCTGTAAGCTAATTCACTTTTCTCTGGGCAGAAATTATTGGGAACAGGAAGAAACTGGACATGGTGTAAATGTGTGATTACCCAGGCGGTGATGGCTGTGTGTATCTGTTGTAAATGTGTGTGATAACCGAGGTGGTGATGGCTATGTGGATCTGCGGGCTACTAGCAGCAACAGCCTGGTTAGCCATGCAATAAATAAGTAGAACTCGCGAAACCGTTCGCTGGAATGTCGCAGGAATACGTAGTGGAAGAAATATAATTAATTGAAAGTGACACACAGAAAGGAGACAGGAACAAGAGAATATGAACCCTGAAAAGAGAGAGACCTTCCATTATATTGTCAAGGAGAGGGTGAGGGGAACCTTCTGGAGGTTACCTGGAGGAGGACTAAGCTTAGATTAATTGTGGATTTTAACGGGACCTGCTGGTACTAGCAGGCTGTAAGTCTAATTGATCAGGCAAGCACCAGACAAGCCTGGCCTAGAGCCGGGCTACGAGAGTAGGAAAACTCCGAAGCCTTCAGAGGTATATCAGAGGAGAGTTGTATGGTAACTGGAAGTATAGGGTTATGTTGATGTGGCAGAGGTAGGAGAGTGGGGTGTGAAGGGTGATAGAGCACAGGTAGGAGAGTGGGGAATGTTGAGTAAAAAAAAAAAAAAAAAAAAAAAAAAAAGGCACTGTGGAAGCAATAGTAGAGTAATACACAGGTAGCTGAGATGCGGGTGTGATTGATATGACGTCACATCACTTATTGTTCCTTAGATGATTATTAGTGGAAGACAGCAGCGGCAGCAGCAGCAGCATTAAGTGATTATTGTGGAGAGCGAGCGAAAACAAGAGGAAGCGCGAGCAAACAAGGATCAACAAACGGCAGAAATAGCCCAACTTTACAGGTGAAGCAACGTAGAAATTGCAAAACAAAAAAACTGTAAAACAGTCTCACTAACGTGACACATCATGAGAATGGTAAAAAAAATACCCGACTCACTGTTTTAATTTGATTAACTTAGTTTCACAACCCAGGTCAGCGCAGCCCGGCCATGAGCTAGGCTTGTCTGGTGCTTGCCTGGTCAACCAGGCTGTTGCGGCTGGTGGCGACCCTCTGGCTTACACAACAACCTGGTTGATGGGGAACTTTGGGGAAGGTACTTCCAGCAGTGTTTATATCTTCTAGTAAGATGTAAGGTAGAATTAGACACTTGTGCACAAGTGTCTTAATTCATCAACTTGTTGGTTCTCCGAGCCATTTATCTACATGTGAGGTAGTTTACA